TCCAGATTGAAACATATTTTTTTTTAGATTGTCGTTTCTGATCGGTAATAATACGTCTTTTAATCTTAATCTTTTTTTCATCCATCTAAGCTCCACTGAAACTAAAGGTAATAATAAAAATTAATATTGACAAAATATGCAAAGATACTACGAAATTATAAAATATTAAAATTACACGATATCTGATACAACACCTTCAACCACAGATTTCAGCATATAATGCCAATTTAGTACATCTTTTTTTGTATTTTTGTGAAAGCTTATGAAGTCATGCAGTTAAAATTAGTCAGAAGTTATGGAACATCTATTTTTTTATTTTTATTTTAATTGAAAATCTATTTTGTTTTACTTAATCCATTTTTATTTAGTATCGATCAAAATTGTTTATATCTTGGGTTTAGGTAAGGAAGGAGATTATTTTACTTATAATACAAAAACAATAGGCATTCTGTTAAAAAAAAAAATTGGAAGAAAAGTCGACCTAAAGAAAAGTATAAATACTTTTTTCAAGTTGTCTCGTCGTTGAATTGTAAAAAATGACGAAAAAAAATCTAACTCCCAAATTACGAAAAATCGTAGAACATACATAGGGGCTACATTGATAGGCATGGTACTCTGCTATCAGCTCGCACTGGCTTGACACCCTAAAAGAAACAACCTGTATATGCACAAAATAATCACTATAGCGCCATTCAGCGGATGTACATAACATTTAATAAAACACGTACTTCCAATCTGTAACCGAACTATTTGGCTAACTACATCACTTTTCAGTTATTCATAGTGGTTTTTGTGCTTGCTAATAAATAGCACAAAATAGTTGTAGTTAGGCCAACTCTATGTAAATAATCACCTCAAGTGTGTTTGATTATAACTTTTTTATCTTACCTTACCAAGTGCCTACTAACTATCCACAATTATTATTGTTTTATATCTCTAATACAGTATAGGAAAACCATGAAAAAAAATGGTAAAACGTGAATAAATAAGGAGCTGGTGAACAAAACGGTATAATTACATAAAACTATATTTTACAGGAGCTGTATAAAACTGAATGACATACCTACAGTGAGGTTTTGGCATGGTTTATAATTTATAAATTTAGTAATTTTAACACTGTTTAAGGTGGTTTTGATTGAAAATTATTGGAGATTCAAATTCAATGGGCCCGAAACGTCCGGACTGTAATAAAAAAGTAGTTTGACCAGATGCGTAATTATTTGTCAGGCACATTGGTTAACATATATTTACATTTATTTTAACAATGACTCGCCCGCAGTTTTTTCTCTTCTTTGGCATGGTTTCATTTAGCCAAAAGTTGCCTGGTAGAGCATGCTACCTTAGCAATAAGACCGCCTTTGGTGTTTACATTCCCGCGTTTAACGTATTTGGTACTTGTGTTATAGTGCAATAAAGAGTATTTATTAAATCATTCCTACGCGAGTAACATAGCTCTTAGCATCCAGCGAAGCTTTGAGCTCCATGCAATGTGACTTAGAGTAAAATAGTCTTCGTTTTCTTTAAAGAGTGATGTTGGCGCACCAGTGATGACTCGTTGGACTTCTGGGACACCATTCCGCCTGGTCGGCGTGGTGTCTCTGGCTTCGTGTCAGGAACTAAACCCGCCTCTTTATACCCGTATCAACGCACACTACGGATGGATACACAGCCACGTACGGAACGATTGCCAGTGTTTTTAGGAATAATAATTTTGTTTGAAGCGTCACTCGTAATTATTAAGGATAGTGTAATAAAACTTGATTTTTTCCATAACATGCGTTATATTTTATTTTTTAACCCATTCCGCTTGGTCGGCGTGGTGTCTAGCCTCGTGTCAGGGAGTAAACTCAGCCCTTTATACCCGGATCAATGCACACTACGGATACACTTCCACATACGGAACGACTGCCAGTGTTTTTAGGAAAAATAAATTTGTTTGAAGCGTCTCTCGTCATGAAGGATCACTATCCTTCATGACACTTAATAAAACTAGATTTTTCCATAACATACTTTATGTTGTAATTAAACCCATTTCGCCTGGTTTGCGTGGTGTCTCTGGCTTCCTGTCAGGGACTAAACCCGCCCCTTTACACCCGGATCAACGCACACTGCGGATGGATATACAGCTACGTACGCAACGACTGGCAGTGTTTTTAAGGACAATAAATTTCAATCTAAAGATTTTTTAAAAGAAATTTAACTAGAAATATTTTTACTCGGACAATAATCCTGATTGCTACATAGTACGCATAGATTGATGAGTACGCATTTTAGCAAGTTGAAGTGGCAGTGGGCTGGCCATATTTGTCGAAGAACCGATAACCTTTGGGGTATACGAGTTCTGGAGTGGAGACCGCGTCTAAGCAAATGTAGTGTAGGACGTCCTCAGGCGTGATGGAGTGACGATTTGCGCAAGGTGGCTGGCAGGAGCTGGATGCGAGTAGCCCAAGATCGAACTGAATGGCGTGCATTTGGAGAGGCCTATGTCCAGCAGTGGACTAAGATAGGCTGTTGATGATGATGGTCCCTCATAATAGGGTACCTTTATATATCAAATTAGATTTTTCCATAACTTGAGTTACAGGTAAATTTCTCTATGTTAATGTGTTTTCATACTATCAAATTAGGTATTTGTTAGTTCCTCATCTCCTCGAGTTATTTGAATTTATTTGAAGTACAAAATATGGTGGTTTTAGCGCGACTTTGCCACGCAAACCCTATTGAGGCACACCTACGCAATTATTTGTTGGTAAAGGGTTGCCATACCCCATTAATATTATAAATGTGAAAGTGCGTATGTTAGTGTTTGTCTGTTTGTTACTTAATCACGCAAAAACTACTGAACTGATTCGGATGAAATTTGGTACGCATATAGTTTTTGACATGGTTTAAGACATATAATACTTTTTATCCTGGAAAAGTACCAGGTTTTTGAGGGATTTTCAAATAAAATAAAGTTAACGGGGACGCTTCTCAATGTTTTTATTTAGATTTTTTTACAGTGTCCTTCATATCCGTAGATTACCAAAACAGTCACAAAAAGTTGTGACTATGTCTGTTTAAACTTGAAACGCTTTTAATTTGCCAGGAATTATAGCAGCTGGAGCTCTTTTTATTTTTCTTTCTCTTCCTGTCCAACTTTTATCTAAAGAATTAACTTTTACTTGCGCTTCTTTATTCTGTACTTTTTCTACCTACTTCTCCACCGTATCTAAACCAATGCTTCTCTTTTCGTTCATCCTCTTCACAATGCATTCTACACTCCTCTTCTAATCTCACTCTCGAAATACCTTGCCATTCGACGATTTCCTTTCTTACTCCTACTCTGTGCATTCTGTTCGCTTGTGGAATTCATTACCGGAATCCATTCAAAGAACTCGCACTCTGGACTCGTTCCGTGACCAAGTTAAGCGTCATTTCCTATCCTTACTTTGAAAATACCTCTTTCCTTTCTTTATTTATTTGTTTCTTTTTTTATTTTTAATATAAATATGCATCTTATTATTATTACCTTTTTTTATTTTATTTTAAAATATTGCTTTTACACCCTTCCCCCTTTTCTTGTTCTTATATACTTATTTAATTTTCCGTCATGGGCTGCCTGGAAGAGATTGCTTTTAAGCAATAAGGCCGCCCATTGTGTAATGTCTCTCAGTCAGTGTAATCTTACTATTATGTCCTTTGTGGTGTTATACAATAAAGATTATTATTTTACATATTACCTGACCTATAATAGTGGATTAGCAAATGAATAAAACGGCATTGAATTTATTTATACGCAGATTAGTCGTGTTGCGTAAACTACGACAAACAATAAGAGGTGACATTGTAATTTTGAATATTCATGAAGTATTGAGTGTCATAGACTGATGTTCAATAAATGTTTTTCACAACCTTTTTAATTATGTACGTATCTTAATGTCAACACGCATCTATTAACGTTAAATTAGGCTAAATAGGGGAAACTTCCACAGTTTTATAGTTAAATATATAAAAATCATTTATATGAATGGAAAAATATCCCCTCACGCTCAAAACCCTGTCTGTGTTAGCGCTTCATTTTATTTTTCACGGTCGGACTTTATTTTTTTTTCTCGACGATTTTCCTCTTATTATTCGTGTTGTTCTAAACGTCCAGGCTTCACTTATGTCTTACATCGATCCTGAATAGTTTCTCTACAAACTTATCTATATATTAGATGTGTAAATTAAAAAATTATTACTAAATATGATAAAACTCAAAATATGTTTTTTTTTTTCTCAACTCGTGGGAGAAATCTGCCATTTAAACAGACCAGGCGATGTACGAGTATTATCCTACTAATATTATGTGTGTAAAAACTGATGAAACTTGGTATCTGTGCATATGCGCATCTTAATTTTCAATTCAAGTCATAAACTATATTAGTTTATGACTTGAATTGAAAATTAAGATCCTTTTTGAAGTAAAACTTCTTTACGCACGCCTGACTTGGGGGGTAAGCTGGCGAATGCGTTACGCGTTAAGAAACGAAACGAAAAGGACGAGGCAAACGGGAGTTGAGTGGGGGATATAAGCAAGAGAAAGCAGTGCGCGCGCACATTTTCTCTCTATTTTGCTCTTATAGCTAGTAAATGATATATGTATATGTACATACACGTATTTATTGTAAAACACACACACATAAATATATAAATATATATTCATACAGATGGAGCTAAAGAACTTTGACTTCATTCGTGTGGTCATAAGTAAACTCGTTTTTGTGGTGAAGAAATGTTTGGATTCCCAAAAAACTAAAGTTAACGCGGACAAAGTCGCGGGCAGGCAGCTAGTTTGTAAATAAAAAAAAAAATACAAATCGAGGTCTGTATTTATTCGGAATGCTAATACAAATACTTAATCACAAACATATAAAATAATAACTCCTAAAAATTATGTTTTATACTCTACAATATTAACAATAACAATTCTTACCAAATAAGTGATGTCGTGTCAAAATATAAGACGCTTTTACGCCTTAAATAGCGCCAAAATTTCTTGTGACTGTTACATTATTACTATTGAGATCAAAGATATCTTTTTCATGGTAAAGGGGGAGTCCTTGCAACTTGAGGGTTGCTACTGGGTCTTTGTAAGTCGCTGTGTAAGTAGGGTTCAGAGGGTGCAAAGGACCTACTGCCTTGACTGCAGCCCTCGCTTCGTCGTTGCCAAGATTGATGTGACTTCCATCCCCTGTTCTCTTGATTCTATTCTTCACCTGTAATTTATTGTTGGATATGATGATGGTATGTTAGGATAATTTGTTACATACTGTTAAACGTTGTGGCTATCTATCCTGAATAGCTATAGAATGCGAGAAATATCTCCAAGATTTACTTGACATCGAATAGGAGCACGAATAACAATTTGCTATATATTTGGAAAGTTTTGAAATGTATTTATTATGATCTTTTACAGCTTTATTCATATAAATTTTCTTTGATATTTATTTATTTTCTCATAATTGTTATTAAGAAATAATATAAAGTCTCACCATATCAGGAGAAGCTGTTTTCAAGTCGTATGCGAGTCCAATCTTTTCAAAGAACTCGATGATTTGTGCGGATGCGTTGAAATGAGTCGATAGCTCGGCGGCCTTATAGTCCCAAGGGAATGCATGGTGGTAATTATGCCAGCCTTCTCCTAAGCTTATGCAGGAAACAAACCAGGATTCCACCGGCTGCAGATTTCTGTGAAAAAGTGATACTGTAAAAAACTTATATTTAGATATGATAAATAAGAAGTTTTGCCTTCGCCGGAACGTCGCGTTATTTCGTCTCTCACTTCTAATAAGATCAGCTGTAATGCATGCACGTGATACATAAACTCCCCTCTGATACTTCTCTACGCAATTTCAATTTATACGCACTCAACTTTCGCTTGCTAATTTTTGATAAAATTATTATTATTATAATTATATTCATGTACACATTTCAACTAGTGAATAAAGCTTTATTGAAAACTCTACATTATCACCGCAACGTCTATATTCTAATGATTTTAATGGAATGAAATATTTAAGATGATTTAAGGTGACTGTAATATTTTATATGTTAGAACAATGTGTGATATGGTATGAGTATGAAATAAAAACTGCCGTGCTACTCTGTAAAAACTAAAAACTCACTTTTCATTTAATACTTTAAAAAAAATCTAATGTGTCTATTTTTCGTGTTCTAATTTTAAATCACACACGCGGAATCCGAGGTGCAAAGTGAGTTTGTTCTTACAAAATAACACTGCAGATTACTTTAACAGGTTCAAAGCTTTGAAAATATTGGGTACTCACTTGTCATAAGGTCTAGTTCCGTATAAATGTGCCGCGCTATTGACTAGCCAGGTCCCATTGAGTTGCAGTGCGTAACGGGCAAAGTAAACAACGAGGAGCGCTTTCCACCAGGGCTCTCCGAAATATTGCACTGCCGGCCAAACAGGCAGGAAAATCGCGATCAAGAAATACAAGTAATAGTAGTACCTGAAATAAATACGTAGATCATATTTAAATGCTTATAAACCTAAATATACATACAAGTATAAGAAGAGCGAGGAACTCGATGGCGCAGCTGGTTAGCGCATTTGTCCGGCGATCGTATAGTTAAGCAACCTTCGCAATGGTCGGTAATTGGACGGGTAATCAAAATCTTGTATCTCGAGCTCTGTAATTCGGAAGGCATGTTAAGCCGTTGGTCCCGGCTGCATTTGCAGTAGATAGCATCCACTAATCCACACTGGGGCCACGTGACGGATCACGGGAAGACCTGTGTCTCTGCATTAGGGACACTATTAGTCTGATTATGATGATGATGATGGCATATAAATCGCGATCAACTGTACAATTCTATCGCAAACAAATCTGTTTGATTTTCTGAAATTTTATCAGGTAGAAAATGATTCAATAATTTTATTAACCATCTCTTTGAAATTTATGTTTCTATCCTACTTCTTATTTCAAATCAGTAGACATCAACTACTACTTAAAAGTTGATCTTGCTTACTTCTTCTGAAACATGACCATCCAATCTGCTTGTAGATCAGACATGTCAATCTTCTTTCCGAGCTCGATGACGTAAGGATGTTTCTTGGTCATCAACCAACCGATGTGGCAAAAGAAGAAGCCTCTTTTCGCGTTGTGAGGGTCGGCGTCAGTGTCGGAGTAGCGGTGATGAAGTCTGTGGTCGCGGCACCATATGAACATCGAGTTCTGGCATAAAAAGCAGATAAAACTACATGATCTTGCTTCTTCCACACCTGTGTGGTGAAGCTTTGGGTGGATTTGTTGCTGCGCTAAAATTAACGTTCGAAATTTGAATAATTCTATCATAATGAATTTTCGGGGTGCATGTTTGTAGGCGCTAGACAAAAGCTTACTGGCAATTTTTGACACGCATAGAAGAGGTTGTGTGGGACGATAAATTTATATGTGTAGCTGAAGGAGCGTACTCACGATGGATGTAATTCAAATTTCGAACGCAAATTTTAGCGCATATTGGTTATATAGGAGAAGCATTGGGTAAACTGTTTGTCACGTTTTGCTCGCAGTAGGTATATTAATGTTCGAACAAATTAATGAATTAAGAAAGCAGCTGCAATGATCGTGTAGCTAGTTGGCATCAGTCACATAAAAATATACATAGTTTTATATTTTCTAGTTATATCTTCATCATATTTTGCATTATAACAACACATTGCAGTGGTTTCGAAAACTTTTTAAGGTGATAGGTTGGCTGACGATGATGGATGGGAGAACAAAGAAAAATTAAACGCTGCAGATGATTAATTTTCTATGCAGAAATTAAGTCCATATTTGACAGTTATCCTTTTGTCTTTAGATAAATTATATCTACCTAGATAATTTCATATGAGGCGTCGTTGACGATGGATTTGACTTAGATATAATTGTATTTAGTTCATACTTAGATGTTCTGCCAACCTCACATCACGTTGGGCATAATTATGAAGTAAAACTATGAATATCGTTTATTTTTTACCTGCCCAGCACCTGTCTGTAGAAAGATCAGAATAGCTCTCAGTAGAGGAGAGCCTTTAAAACATCTATGCGTATAGAATCTGTGAGCTCCAATAGTGACTCCTTCACTGGTTAAATATAACATAATCCAAGCTGCAAAAATACTATGGTTAAAAACACATCAAAGAAGTCTAAAAACACGCATCATTTACGCACAGTTGATATTTTATTATTATCGTTATGAAATGTTTAATTTATTTGTTTTTTTTTAAAGAAAATAATACAAATCAAGTACTAAAAATCGACCAAAAGTTCATGTTGCTTTCTTTCTTTTGATGAGTATTTCAATATTAAGTAATGATAGTACTTCCTCAATCTTTAGCTGAGACAACATTTGTCATAAACTTTTACTTAAATATTATGTTTTAGGATGATAGCGAACACTTTTTCTCTACTTACTCCATATAAAAGTTTTGAGATGTACACCACCGGTGAACATTATAATAGTTCCCCACAAGGCAAGTAAGTGCAAAATCAAAAAACCGATGGCGTTTCTCCATACCACTTCATGTTTATAAGAGGGATCCGTTCCGATTATAAACGTTGAGTCGGTATCTTTCATAATCTTCTCATCTTCGACAGATGAATGTGTTTGTACGCTTGCAGTCATCCTGATTGGACTGATACCCCTCGAGATTCACACTGACGCCGCTAAGGACCATTCGACTGTATAAAAGGGTTTTCGTTACATTGTTCAAATGTAGACAATCATGAAATCGGCGACAATTGTGTAAATGGAAAACTTGAACTTTCTTGACATTGTTAATTATTACATTGTAACTTATTTTGAATTAGAATTTAAATTCCACGAAATCAAAGAACCTACCTACAAAGATTTTCGTAATTACTAAGACTTGAAATAGCATTTATTATTTCCTTACTGTCGACTTTCTTCACGATCGTCACCTCAATCGCAAACAGTTTTAACTACATGATTAAGGCTTTCGAATTTTTACTTCACTTGTGTTATGCATAATAAATTGTTCCTTGTCCAATAATATTATGTCACAAAAATGAGTTGTTCTATAGATTTTGATTCTCTTGCAAGAGTGGAAAAATTAAGAGGTATAAATGAACATACTTTTAATTTAAAATAAAAGAAAAAACCGGACTACTGCGACTCACATTCGCCTACCGATTGTTACCGTACATTTGTAGGTATGCAACATAAACGGCACTTAGAAGTTTGATTTTTTTACAGCTTCAAGAAAATGTAGACTCGAGTATATAGTTTAATTTTCAACTCGATCCGTCCACGCGTTCCCGAGATTCCCGGTCTTGACAGACAGATGGACAACAAAGTGATCCTATAGGGGATCCCCTTTTCCCTTTTGAAGTATTGAACCCTAAAAAATGTCTTAACGGAATGAAAGACTGCGGAAACCACATTTTCTTCAAAATAACATGAATAAACAACAGCACTCTTAATCATATATTTATTTAGCTATCACAAGTTAGCCCGTCTTTTGAATGTTTCTTGATCCAATCTATGTAGTGGCTGACCTTTGTGTACACACCTAAAGAAAAAATATTAAGGAAAATTAAAAATTATCAGAATATACAGGTATAGAAAATTTTAAAGGTGTTATTATTTTGAAATAACATTACAAAAAAAAACGTGGCACTCGGGGACTGCCGTGGTAAAGCTATTGCATAATATTTTTATCAACTTATGCAATTGTAATTATTTATTTATTTTATTTCTGCTTTTTTTTTTCTTTGATATTAATTCATGTTACACTTTTTGAGCATGGTAACCGATAAGAAAACATTTTTTTTTATTGAATAAATGAGAAGTTAATATTGTTTAAAATATTTTTATTATCTTACAATACATGTAGGTTATTCAGGATTTTTTATAGATACCTATACACCTATACTTTCTCACAAACAGCTGCTTACGTGTTCGTCCGATTTCGGAGCAGCTCGTCTTGATTCGCGCGAGCTTCGTACAGTCGTACCATATACATGTACTACGGTAAGGTTCAACTAGTCGCGGGCTCGAACTCACTCGTCGACGCCGTCAAAAAGCCTAGTAGTCTCACCTAGCATTGTCTATATGAGCAGTTAGCAGCTAGTCTACACGCATACGTCTAGTCGCATGCACACAAAAACCGTGCCGAAGTCTGCCGAATTGAAACGACGTTAGACGGTGCACGGCTTTCACCGTCGCACCGCTGTGGCGGTCGGAGTGGGGGTTGTTAGGTTTATATTCGTTACGGAATTTCTTGATTCGGTCACCGCGCCCAAAGCCCGCGATAAACGCTATGCAATAGCTTAAAAATTTGATTAAAACCAACAGAAAAATCGTCGAAGTTAAAAACTAATAATCATCGAGGTAAGTATTTTAAAGTTTAGGCATTGAACAAAAATAATATATGTTAACAATAAAAAGCTATGCAAATATTTTAAGTACAGAATAATGAACTATTTAGTTCAGCCGTGCTATTCTATAAGAATAAACTCACTTTTCACCGCGAAATCCGCGTGTGATTTGAAATATGAATACATTTTTAATTCCGCGGCAGATACCACGGTGAAAATTGAGTTGTTCTTACTGAATGTCCTGCCAGGTTGTAAAATCTAAAATTTCCTAACCTATTCTTTATCTTTCTTAATTACAATCAACTTAAGTCAGTTTCGTCGTGAATGAGGCATATTCCAATAAGTAAATATTATAGTGAAAAGTTTTAATTTTAATCCTTTATTACGCTATGTTCAATTGGTACTTACCAGGATACCTTGGATCTGCGCATCCTATTCCCCATGACACAACTCCTGCAAATTATGCATTTGTTGGAGTGAAAAGGGAAATACAAACATAATTCGAACGAAATTGGTATACCACACTGTTCTGCATAGTGCTATCGATTTTGATAAATAAAAGGTACTAAACTTAAATACTTGGTAAGTACCTATATCAGTTTCTAGAAAATAAAATATTATTTACCAGCTAGAACGTAACGGAAGTCGTTTTCAAAAACTATAAACGGTCCTCCACTATCACCCTGAAAAAGACGAATAAAATATTCCTGTTTATTTGATAAACGGTCATTGAATTCTAATCTTTAAAATTCATCCCTATCTACTCTTTTTCAAATAATCATATTACTGGTAACAATTTTTAAATGGTATCTGTTGTATTATTAAAATAAATATATGTACAGTCTACTCAGAGAAGATTTTCTAGGTTTGATTCACATTTTGTAACCAATGAACTATTGGTATTGCTAGAATATTTTTATCGACTTAATCTAATTGAATTTTAATATACATAGGTACTTTAATAACAGTTTTAATTTCAAGGAAAGAACCTAATTTAGAGATATTTAGGTAGATCTTTTTGTTTCTTGTACCTTAATGTTTCTACCGCTTTGCATCGATATCTACCAATTAGCATCACTCAAAATAATTCACCGATTTAAGGTTGTGGTTTACCTGGCAGCCGTCCTTTCCTTTAGAGAAAGCGCACATCATTGTTGGTTTAAGATGCTCCTTCAGTTGTGATTGCATACACTCTTCGTCAGTCAGAATTCTTAGAAGAGCTTTCATTAGGACCTTAGAAGAAGACTTCTCCACTCCAATTCTTCCCCATCCTACGATGGTGCCTACTTTCGATGAAAAATCTTCCCCTACAATTTAAAACAAAATGAATAAGCTAAATTATTATATTAAAACAATAACCTCACAATACTACAAAGTACTTTTTTTTAGCAAAATAAAATAAATTGGACAAGGAATTCAATTTAGTATAACATATGTAAAAGTATTTTATATTGTTTATAAGTATTTTGTATTTTCCTTAAGTGTATTGTGTACATATAATTATGTACCTAATATAAATAAGAATAAGCTAATAAAAATACTTAATACTAAAAAATCTATCATTAATGACTGATAGTTCATAAAGTTTACCTGGTTTAGGTAAGCAAATTGGTAATATTGTGGTACTAAATTCAACAGGTTCATCAAGAGTGGCTAAGGCAATGTCGTTTTCGTCTCTAACCGCCGTGGAAGTAAAACCTTCGTGGATGACAACCTTGGAAATATTCCTGTGAGCCACGTCCTTCAATTTATCCAAGTTGTCTAATCCCACGAGTACCTCCATTATCTTGTAGTTGTCCCTGTGTCAAAAGAAATGCTTTGATGACCGTAATATTTCCATAACAGAATGTTTGGTTGGTTTTAATATTATTGTGATTACTTTAATTTTTAATATTTGATAATTTTCCTCATGAGTTTGTACAGTAGCTAAATTTATTGTGAATGAAAATTTTATTGTATTTTTGTATCAAATGTCATTCCGTTATCCTTTAAAATAATGCAATCAACTGTTTCACAACAGCATGTAAACTTTGATGGAATTTCTGATTTTTTGTAGTATTTTACAACATAACTTCACACTTTTAATACCTCTAAGAAGAGTAGCAGTGCAAGAATTGATGTAAGAAAGCAAAAGGTAATACAAATGAGAAATAATAAGAATCATTTTCACGAACACACTACAATTGATATTTGTTGGATCTGAGATATATATTGCCCGTTTATAGCATATTTGACAGAACAAGTTTAGTATAATGATAACCCGTCTGTTAGCTCTATCGCGTAGGTATCTCGTTTTGTTTTTAAATGAACACATACCACTTGAAGCAATGTCCAGCACTGAGGACATGTTTGTTGGTGATGATGGCTCCGCCGCAGTGCATCCGGTTGTGCTTCAATATCGCTACGGTCCAGGGGTAGGAGTGCGGAGCTGTCCTCCTGCCACCGACGATACGCATCGACACCACTGTGTCCGATGGTCTCCCACACTCTGTTGTTATCACACATTGAAAATAGACTGTCGAATTGAGCACTTACTCCTTTTTGATAAGGGGTTGCGCTCGTGCCAAGCTCCAAAGTATGTAGTTTGTAGTGTCTAAAGAAGCGAAAAATGACTGTTATGTGTAGTATCTTAGTTGAAATTTTGTCTCTCAGCACTAACTGAGAAATAATGATGTTAGGTATGTTCAACGAACCGTCATAGATATGTTTCGAGGTGGAATAGTCAACCCGTATGTTGGATTACAACTTTATTATTATTATGACGTATGGATGAACAACAGCACGTGAGGCAACTATAATATATCAAAAATTTATGGCTAACCAGTTGCTGCAACGCCAGGGCTCCTGTCTTCAGCTCCAGAGGTCCTAGATTCGAATATTTCAGGTCAGGTATCAGAAAAATAGTAATACCTACATATCTAGCCAATGAACATTTTTATTTAAAATAATGTGACTCTTGTAACTTAAAAAGAATTTATTGATAATATAAATTTCATTACCGTGTTTGTCGAAAATGTACTATTTTATTTTCAAAAGAATATCTGTAAATTTTAGCATGTGAGTTGCATCTAAACAATTGCAACATCCACATGGATATGGAACGGTTGTTTTAAAATTTATAGAGTAACGTAACTGAGACAGCCTAAGATTTCAGCAGCTGTGATATTTGCGACACACCCATCAAATGTGAGCCCAATGATATCAACTCCAGCATTAGGTACTTTTGTACGCAAATTTAAATTAAATTTGCTTTTCGCTCCGCTGGTAGGCCATTAATTAAAAATAATCTTAATGATTTTAATTTTTTAAGCATGTAACTGCTCGATGTTTAAATCTAAAGAAAAGGTTCGAGTCCCGTCTGCTGCCATTTTTACTCGTTTTTGCAAAAAAATTCATGAAACCAATATGGCCGAATCAGGCTTATAAAATGCAACGCCACCAGACGCCACGCCACGCATGTTGAGTCAAATCAAAATGTACCCACTGATTTTTACGATCGGAATCACATTAGAAATATCCGACGCGACTATTAGTGCTATAATTATGAGTGGCAAAAGTGATGGGTGCGTACAAACCACTGCGTCACTAGATACATTGAATATTAAGGGCATGGACCAATGGTAATGGAGGGACACTTTTTTTTAACAGCAGAGCAATGGTGTATTCTATACAACGGGTCCTAAACTACGCAACAAAATGTTCACTATCAGTTAAATAAATTTTCAAGCAAGGTTTATAATTATATGAAGACACTCATTATGTATAATACAAGCCTGAGAACCAACTGAGAACAAATACTTTACACTACAGCTCTACACCGCAGCGAAGCGAGGGCGGGCCACTAGTTTTCAATATATACGTTATGTCTATTAATAGTAATAAATAAGTTAGGAATACAATTTGTTTTATACGATATAAAACCTTTAATGTACTTACTGCAGTCTAATCCCATTGTGAAAGACGGCAATGTGGTCACCTAAAAACGACATTTTGTTCCCTTCAACACTTCTCTCAATGGCTAGTATCAATTCGATTTTAAACTTACATACCTGAATTAGGATACTGAATATCACAAACTTCATATTACGCCTTGATACTTTATTTATCAGTCACTAAGAACACAAACAACGTACAGTTTCCTTCGGTAGCTGTGCAATCACTCACTGCATGTCAAATTGAGACGAAGAATTATTCACGCGATAATTTGCTTGTAACTTTGAAATGCTGAACGTTATAAATTTCATTTAAGAAATTAAATCGCAGAAAACAAATGTTTCCTATACTCATACTTCAGAAGTTGACATCCGCATGTTTAAATCACTAATCGATTGTTCACCAATAAACCATAATTAAGGTGGAATTGATATTTGCTGTGGAACAATCTTAGATCAAAGAACACTTATACTAATTAAATAAGTCTTTACGCGAAATATTACGTGTGTTGGTATGTTTGTTGGAAACTTGCGTAAGTTTTAATCCTTAGATTAAATAAAATTTAATCAATATAGTTTTAACGACTTTCATAAAATTACCGTTTTCCACTTCACTTGACTTCTTAAATTAAATTTACCTTGGAAATATTGAATAGCTCACGTTGTTTGATTTAAATTTAGACTTTGGAATGTACCATTAGCTTTATATTGTTATAATTTAATATATTGAAATCGGTATATTTTCTTGAAATTAATTGTTTACATAGACATTGCTAAAACATTTTACCAAAATTCTTTAGGAGTTAGTATGTATCTTAAAACACCGAAATAGACAAAGCAGAGAGATAACACAAATTATGTAATTCATAAAAGAAAGTAGTAAAAAAACGAATAGAAAGTTCCACAAAGAGTTTTATGATGATTGTTGAATACAAAACTCTTTTAAATAAATAGAACGAGTAAAGATCCTTATTAAAATTGGGTAAATAAACATGCTGTTTTGGAAATGAATAGAATTTTATTCAGAAATATTCTTTTTTTTTGTTTAAATAAGTGCGATTAACTTTGAGAAAATGACAATTCCTATATATTGCGAAGAGAAGAAAAAATAATGTAATAATGTAACGGTAATTATAACAATTCTTTATTATGTGAATACTTAATCTATATCTAGTTAAACTACTAGGTAATTACAAAAATTATATAATACACAGTACAAATTTATTTATACACAGTACATTCCATCTTTTGTTTGTTGTGTTATCCAAGATATATATTTAGATACGACAGTATATACACCTGTGAACAAAGAAAACGATAAAGATAATGGTAATTTTGCAAATCGTTAAGTTTAATAGAGGTCATAAGCTCACTTAATAGGTGTTTACAATTTTAAAGCGTAATGCGCTTTAAAAAAAATCACACCTATAATAATGATAAATAATAAATCTAGTTTATTTTTCTCCATAACCAGTTTTGTGTTTAACTATAAAAGTACAATATTACTAATTTAGTAATTTGGCATTGGAGACTGGTGACTGAACTAAGGTTAGAACCGGTTTTACAGATCACCAGGCCCTCCTAGTCCATGCTCCGCAGCGAGAGGGCGTGGGAGGCAGTCGCCTCCTTTTGCGAGAACGTTATCTCGCAGAAGGAGGCGGCTGAGAGGAAGCGGGAGGATGATCCTCTGGCCGCTCCCTCCCGCCAAAGGAGGACGGGTAGGAGAGGACGGCGGCGCGCCCTGTCTGCGCCCGTCCCATGACCCTACCCGGGGGGTCCCCGTGGGACGGACCCCGTGACGGCAGCCCCCCCTTGTAGTTCTGTCCTGCAAAGAGGGGGGCGGCGGAGGGAGCTACATTAGCACGTCCAAGTAGCCCTCCGCAGCGGACGGGGGGCGGTACGGTGGGCACTAGGCCGCGTACTCAGCCCCCATGCGTGGGTCATCCTGCGCAGGCTGCGGGGTCCCCAGCCGCGGAGCCCCGACAAGGCCGGGAGGCTGCTAGGTGAGGAGACGCGGAAGAATCACAAATGGGGATCCCGCGGCTTCGCGCTAAGCAGCTTAGAGGGTATTCGCAGGGTCTTTAGCGGATATTATGCCGTAAAGCGCCCGTAAGGGTTACGGGGTCCTAAGTGGGCAGCCACTGCTGGGGCTGGTAAGGCTTGCGTGAACCAGGTGTGAGGTCCGTTCGGCGGTGTGCCTCTTAAAGGCGCCGTCGTCTGTAAATAGTATTTTTTGCCTGCGTATAAAAAAAGCCATCCTAGGATATATACATACATATAGGTACCTATATGTTAAGCTTTCTTATATACACGGACAAAATAAATATACACCCACATTCGGAGTAATAATAATAGTAAATTTTGACACATCTATTGATTATACTAAAACAGCAGTTCATGCTTAAAAGGCCGAACGTTGTTGAATTGTATTTCCTGGTTGAATGGGAATTGTTGCCCAGGCAAGGCCCGAAATTGTAACAATTTAACATGTATTTTGTAGCATTGTGATGACGACTCCATAGCACATCCATAGCTTCACGGGTATAGAAAATTCAAAATTCAAAAAATCTTTATTCGAATTAAGAGTATACAACACATTTTAAACGTCCAAATTATTGTCTAATTATGACATCCAACTACTCTACTACTGGTCTACAGTCATTTACACACACTAACAACACAGTCATATCCCGGACAAAAGAAAGTCGTCAACACACTGGACCATCTTGGTGAGCCATAGCTTGTTCTCCGTATTCCATTCATAGGTTGGAGAAATAGATAGATAGTGATGGTGAATAGTTACCTGGATAGTCTGGCATCGCACAATCTATTCCCCATGAAACAATACCTAAAAGAGTAAAACGTTTTTAAAAATCATTCAAAATAACTTTAGTTACTTGATTTATAATAGAAGATCATAACTTACCAACTTGATACCATTTTTTATTGTGTGTCATTCGATGAGTAGCGAATAGTGGTCCGCCGCTATCACCCTGCAAAGGAAAATTTGTAAGTATCATATTTTATACTACCTATTATATTTAGGTGTCGTGGGGTGTCGTGAAGCATCAGAAGCACATCGGCTTCATACATTTATTATGGTAAGAGACATATTTGTAGCTTGTGCCGTGTCGTAAATATGTCTCTAACCATAATAAATTGTAAACGACACCTTAATATGTTTCTGCCTTAATGCTCACCTCTAAATAATGGACGAGCTCGTGGCAAACAGGAAATACTTTTATCTCGTTAAGAGCCCTTTCACATTTTCCGCAAAAAATCGAAATTTTTAGCGCCTCGTTTATCCCCTTAGAAAAGATTTTGACTACAGTAGGAGAAGATTGAACAATATACGGGCTTTTACAGTAACATAATTATAATACATATAATAAAATGGTAGGAAGGTCAAAAGTGTACATTGAACATTTTTTTTATACAATACTTGGGGCACACCCCAATAAATATTGTTTTTAGAATTTTTGTCTGTTTATCTCTATGTATGTTCGGCCTAAACTCAAAAAGAACTGCATTGATTTATTACAAATTTGGCACGAATATTATTACTACATATTATCACGCTATCACCTACGTGGAACGAGCAGTGAACCTTTATTTCTAACTAACTCCACGCTTACGAAGTCGCGGGCGGCCGCTAATAATATATATTGTTTCAGAATTTAGTAAAAAATTACCTGACACGCATCCTTTCCAAGACTATAAGCACACATCATCGTATCAGGCACGAGGTTGTCCCTGTATATTGATGACTTTCGACACTTGTCTGAGTCCACAATTTGCACTTTGGTTTCTAGCAAATATCTCGATGAGGTCAACGCCCCTTGTCTTGTCTTTCCCCAGCCAGCTACGGTCAGTCCGACATTCTTAAAATCCATTGCTGAAAAAAACAAAAAACAGCCAATTATTGCTTCACGTCATATTTCTTAAGTAATATACCTATAGATAACAAACGAGGATATAGCTCTGCTTATATTTTGGCAACTGACCACTTCACCTTTAGGGGTCAATGGAAAATAATATGCTGTGTCCCACCTCCCCTTTTTTATCTTAGACTTTTAAGACATGCCCAAAATGACATTTATATTATTGCAGTCTTAATTTAGCCTCAAACCGAACCTGTCTTATTAAAAAAACTAAGTTTTATAAACCAAACTATAACCGACATTTTATGAAAGTTCTCAGAGATGTAATTTTTTTATGTGTGATTTAATCGAAGCTGTCTATGTTCTTGAATTAACAATTTTATTAGGACTCTACGTCACTTAAAAAGCATTGAATTCATTTGTAAAAAGCATTGAGTAATACGGACTACTGCATATATTATCAGATACGTATTTTTTAATGGACCCGGAATACTGTATTGTGTCTGAACGAGTTTTCACATTATTCAAATGATGGTGAATAGATCTTTAAATAAAGACACATATATTGTGCTATCTTTCTAGCTACGATTTAAAAACTTTAGATGTTGAAATTACCTTCAGTGGGCAAGCAGATAGGGCGGACTTTGTCTGTGAACTTAAGTTTTTTGTTGAGCGTGAGCACTGCGATGTCGTTAATGTCCCGCACAGCATTGGAAGTAAACGAGGGATGTTTGATGCCACTTGCAACTCGCAGTGTTATAAAGCTGTTCTCAAGCCGATCGTGCATGCCAACATAAACCGTCAAATCACGAAAATTTACTCTGTAAATGATAATTTAGTTCCATAGTCATCATAGATATCCTACAAGATCGCTACAAACTTCTAGTCCGCTCTAAAGTTGCTTCGCGCAGGTGTGCAGTCGTATACAGATCGCGCCAATCTAGGACTAGAAAGTCCATTCTGAATTTGAACACTGCACAATTCAAAAGACCAATGCAAAAGACAGGTATATAGTTGGACGAAAATTGTGTATTAGACTCTACAATGAGGAATAGTAACGATTTTAGTTGAGAATGCGGATTTATAGAGCTAAAGATTCCATTAAATGCAGTGGTTAAATTTTTGTTCTACGACAAATATTGACGAAGTAATGACCAAATCACTAAACGAATTTTCGGCTATCCGCGTGGTGACTGTGACGTCACAGAGCTCTAGCACTCGGACGCGAGCGTGCGTAGAGAGGCTACAAACGTTGGACCGGAGTGAACGACGATTGAGTTCTGTGACCTCACACTGTTTTGGCCGCCGGTGAATTTTGGCTACCATAAAATTAGTTATAAAATCGCAACGCATGAACCGATTTCGATGATTTAAAAAGTATATTAACTAAAAAGCTTATCAAAATTATATAACATTATACCGTCGATTTTGAGTTGATTTGCTGATCTAGTAATGATCCTCATTGCGCGATGCAACTTCCGAGCAGACTAGATCTATACCCAAAGTCAAGTTGCGAGTAGGAACAAAATTATCAGCGAATCTAATAGCAACCTTTGTCCATGTAGAAATAACAATAATAAAGCATAGGTATATTTGAATGCAGTCTTCTGAGGAGTCCAGACAAGCTCTCAATTGGAGCGGACAATCCGCTATGCCCAAACGCCAAAAGCGCCGCGGGCCGTTAATAAAAAGTTTTATTATACTTAAAATAAAAGAATTGTATCTGCTGCTTTAATCTGTGTTTGAAACCATCCTACATTTTAATGTAGCTGAGCTTATGCTCATTCCCCTCACTTTATGTCTATTTATAAGCAGTTTCTTATTTTTTTAGATGGAAAGATCATTTTAGGGAATCAGTTGCACTGGGTTTATACATTTATCTTTAGATGTGATACCTGAACTCTATAACACAAGTACTTGAGCTAGGTACTTATAATATAAATACATTTGTTGATGCTTAGCGTGATCTTATGTAACTGAAATACAATTTTTAGGTTCTTTGTCTTTAACCAAAATGATACGTAGGGACAACCACAGATACAACCACGAATGCAGTCTCCAGAATTAAACACAAGACTTACCCAAAAGTTATGCAGTGGCCAGCTGTGAGGACATGTAGGTCCGTTATGATGGCTCCTCCACAATGCAGCTTAGGACCCAGCATCAGTGATACCAGCCAAGGATACTCATGTGGTTGCACTGTCGTTCCGCCCACAATGCGCCGGTTTTTCCCGGCTATACCGCATTCTGACAACAATCTGATTTATCGAAGTTTCCTCTGCTATTGAGTAGGCATCAAACTGATTCCCTATTTGATCAAGCCCAGGTTTAAATAAAAGCTGTTTTCAACGTTTATCTGGTTTTAAGGGCAAGATCAGTAAAGGATTTATGGTAAACGTATTTCAACCTGTCCTCTTGCATGTTGGTATTTCTAATGCTACTTAATTTTAACCAGTAGATTTGTGTTAATTTTTGCATGTAAACATAATATTCTTTGAACATAAATAAATTGAAATCCTTAAAAATTTACCTTGCTAACTTTACGTTACGCTAAACTAATTCATTCTCTATATCGAATCTTGATAAGAAAACATATTATATAAAGGTAGGCACTTAAAAATATGCATAAAAGTATTTTTTTGCTTACCACATGATTTATTTACTTTCTGCTCAGCTGCCTGTGCAAAAACAAAATGTCATGAGAACAACATTTCATTTAATTAATCAAAACGATTTTTCAAAGAACTATTTTTTTAATTACCGTAGAAATGAAAGTTATCAGTATGCTTAGCGGGAAAAGTGCGATCCATGATTGTTTCATATTTTTCGCACTAAAGATGACGTGTCCAGATGGAGTATTTCATGGTTGACAGGTTGACACCATATTCAACATTGATCCAATGAATTCCACGCCAATCAATTCCAATACTTACGCGACAAAATTAATTAAATTCTCTAGCCAATATCGAAACTCACTCGTGCATATTTTATAGATGTGGATTTAGCATGCTTAAACTAACATGTTTAAAACTTTGTTAGAGAAAACTTAGTAGGTTTGGAAAGCCCGATAGCGAAGTGGTTAGCGTATTTGGTTTGCGATCGTGCAAATGGAATGTGTCACCAAAAATATATTGAGTTCCTTAGTGTTTCAGAAGGTACTCGTTTACGTTGAGATGTTAGTCCCGGCTTCATCTGCTGTTTGAAGAATGCAAGCAGTCATGGCCCGTTCTCTTCTTTTTTTATCACGCTTTTATTAGTTTCACCTGTATGTTTGTTTATATGTATGTAACTGACTCGTTTGGACTCGATTTTGCCCAACTTTAAGCGATCAGATTTACTTTAAACTTGGCAAATATATGTAGATTAGATGATATTACAATATTATGGTACCACCGAGCTGATCTGATGATGGGATTGGAAGGTGGCTAATGGAACCTTGGATGCCTACTAGTAAACATATCGAGTTTGGGCTCATCAGATTCGTCTTAACAAATTCTGTTCATTTCTCCTGATGACGGGCACCTGATGATGGACTGGAAGGTGGCTGATGGACCTTGGACTGCCTACAAGTAAACATATCGAGTTTGGGCTCATAAGATTCGTCTTAACATATTCTGTTCATTTTTTCTGATGACGAGGACCTGATGATGGACTGGAAGATAGCTGATGGACCCTGGACTGCCTAATAGCAACAGTTATAGATTCATCTTAACATAATAAATTAGATGACAATACAATATTATTTTACTATCGAGCTGATCTGATGATAGGACTGGAAGGTGGCTGATGGAACCTTGGCCTGCCTACTAGTAAACATATCGAGTTTGGGCTCATTACATTCGTCTTAATATATTCTGTTTATTTCACGTTAAAGGGGGTAATAAATAAGTCTTGCAATAGTGAAGCCTTATCGGAAATGGAGAGGATACGTATTCAGTCGAAATGAATGAACGAAAACTCGTTCTATGTTTTGTAATAAACTAAAAAGAGAAAAATAAATTAATAGTTTACAAAACTAAAAACACGCTTTTACTTACTGCACTAAAAAGTCAAAAATAAACAAAATATACTCTCCGTTTACTTCATTAGGGCTTTACAGTGAGCCATGTTTTAGTTGATTTTAAGATAAGATCGTGTCGAATTTTTTCTAGCCTTTCTTAAGCTGCAAGACAGAGCCATCAATGTAAAGAAAAGTATAATCCTTATTTGAGACATCCCACAGCAGTTCACGTAACCGAAAAATCTCCTTGAGTATCGAAACTTAAAACTAAAAACATCAGTCTCTCCTCATCATTCTTTATAGAAAATAACAAGGATACACTGTTGTCGAATTTAAGTTTAGATATAGAGAATCATGCCAAAATCGACACCAGTAAGTTATTGTGCAATTTATTTCACTCGAACCAAATCGCATTAAAGTAAGTATCAGGCATTGTCCTAATACAACGCGATAGCGCGATCATCGCGCGTTTAAACGATGCGACCATCGCGTGATCGCGAACTGGGTGTCCTAATAGAACGCGAATACGGAACGGGTTAGCCCTGCCCCTCTCTCCGCTTCCTATCGACGCGACGCGATCATCGCGCGAACTTCAGTTAGGACACCAATTCATCAGTAATAGGTTTGATGTGCGTTCGCTCGATCTAAGTTCGCGCGAATAGATTTTTAAACATTTTAGTCGCGCGAATGCATCGCTCGATCGCCTATTAGGACACCTATTCTAGATCAATATGTTTGATCGTCGACTCGTACGATGATCGCATCGCTCATTCGCGTTATCGCGTTGTATTAGGACAATGCCTCAGAAGACAGAATCGATCGTCGCATAGGGGCCGTTCATAAAATACGTTACGCTAAAATCAGCTTTTTCCGACCCCCCCCCCCCCCTCCCATTGTCACGCAGTGTCACACTTTCTGTGACCCCTCTTGAAATATTCCGTCACAAAACCGGAAGACCCCCCCCCCTCCCCAAGTATGATTAATTTTAATTGATAGTACACAAATTTTAAGAATTTAAATATTTATTTAGTTTTTATAATAAAATTTAAATATATAAATAAATATCTTTTCATAACAAATAAATAAATCACATTTCTATATATGTTTACTAAATACGAAATAATTGATTTGCCATCTTGATGAAAATTGAGAAAGAAAAATATTCGAAAGAAATACTAATTAAAAATTTTTTAATGAACGACGAACGTCACATTGCCGTAGACCCCCCGTCCCCCCTTGTCACATCTTGTCACGACCCCCCCCCCCCTGTATGCGAACGTATTTTATGAACGGCCCCATAGTAAGTAGGAACGTTATGAATAAATGAAATTATTCAACATGTGGCTTTTAAGCATAGACGAATTAAGCGTAAAAAAGTCTATAAAATCAGAAGAATGTTAAGCATCCTAATATTTTCTTATCTATGAAAGAACTAGTCTAAACCATACACACACATTTTTGTACCTTCAGTTTTAAAATTAAACTCATTACATAAAACTATAAAAGCTTTAGGTACGCACAGCGGCCAATTTAACTTTCAAATCTTTGAAACTCAGTTTACCGTGGCACTTACTCTGTTGTTTTTTTACGAAATCCAATTCATGATCAATAAGAATTTCTAACTTGATAAATCCTAAACGTAGATAAACTGACACTGACAGCTGACGTACCGTGATAGCTCGGTTAATTTTATGCGGCTAAGTTAAAAAGGTAACAAAGCAAGACTGCGAAGAATTTTGTGTCTCTGTCTATCACTATGCATTTGTATGTTGCTAATTTTGTCTTTTAGCTTTAGTGAAGAACGCTGTGAAGTTTATAAATAATATCGATTAGTTTCCTTTCTTCTTGTCATAAAACATAGCGTAGGTCGTTCACTCGTTTTTAAATGGATTTGGCCTACTTGTATTTTCGTTTGTAGGCCTTTTATCTCAACCAAATGTAGCTTAGAACTTAGTTGGAACAGTATTACATTCAATGACAAAGTTAAAAAATGCCTGGGATAAGAAAATATCGACGTGACACCAGCGAAGTCAGCTGTTGTTTGAAATATGTTATATTTGGTGTCAATGTTTTGTTCTGGGTAAGTTTTTATCCTTTTACTGTGCTTTACACATTATTACAGCCGGCAAGGCACTTTATTTGCCTTGATTTTGAATAGTATTACCTAGATAAAGAAGGCAGGTAAGCTGCTGCTTGATATTCCAAGGGTAGAGAGAGATTACACATACTATAGTCTTTCACGTTTTTTTAAAACTAACTGAAACTTATGTCTGTTTCAAATCTCTACTTATTGTTATCATAACAATAAATAATACTAATTCATATTGCTTTAATGTTTTTATTGTAAACCATACATTGATAAGATCTTATAAACAATGTATTGTATTCAACTTTAGGTCATGTATTTACTATAAAACGAGGTATAAAAAGGGTTGTCATCTTGTAATTAAATATTTATTTTAGATGTTTATAATTAAACATTGTTGAAAGTACATTTTTACCATGCCTGTGTTAAAGGAACTCCTACCTTTTGTGATTTCAAATCACTATTAACCTTGGAATTGTATTGCTTGATTAAAACAAGAAAAACTAGATAGAAATGTGGACATGATTTCTGCATAGTTCTTTTAAGATGGTTCAAGTTTGGCCCTGAAGTCTTCAACAATCCTGTAGTTCAAATCAGAATTTCTTAAATCATTCTTTATATTATCTGCCACTGTCAAAGGTCAATATTATGTTTATGTATTTAAAGAGATAATAATAATTAAACTAAAATTGTTACATTAATTGTTTATAATTATATCTTACACTATTCTACATACATCGTCAATGGAAGAAGTTCTCTCTACAGCAAAATTAATAATAAAAAATGGCTTGGACATGTGTCAGAGTCAGTTGTCTTATAATACAATACTATTTACAGTTTCTTGGCCTCATTGTGCTTGCTGTTGGTGTGTGGGCATGGACAGAGAAAGACACATTCAATAATTTATCGAGACTGACAAATATTGCTTTGGATCCTGCATTCATTTTAATTTGTGTTGGTAAGTGATTATATAGTTATTTTGGGGTCATTGGAACACATAGATATCAATAATCTGTGGTCTTTAATATACATATTGCTTGCAGGAAGAGAATAAGTTCTAATGCCTGATTGCATGACTGATGTCCTTAATTGAGTTTATTTACCTTTTAATTTACATAATAGTGGCAATGATAATTTATTGAAATAAATTTATATTCATGCTAAACTTATATTAACTACTAGCTGTGTTCCGCAGTGTTACTCGCGGTGCATTAGGGTTATTTTCCCGCAGTAAAACATAGCCCATACCAAATTTTATTAAAATCGCTCATTTAGACGTGAAGAAGTAACAAACATACACACTCACAAACTTTCGCCTTTATAATATTAGTCGTGCAAAACTAAGTATCAACTTTTTTAATATTATTATTATATTTTTGTTAGTTTTCTTGTAAGACCATTTTGATGTCAAATCATAAGGTGTCTTTATTTGTATTTAGATTCATTTATTCATTGTTAAAACTGTAGTAGTAACTGTAGTGTGTAGTTATGGGTATAACATAGTTAATGCTGTGAGTATCTAGGGTTTCCTGATTTTCCACTTTGTAAGAAAAGCATAATAACAATAAGTGCTAATATTAAGCACACTATTAACAAGTTCTAGATTACTGACTGACTACTGATTACTTTATTTTGTGCTTATCATATTTTTACTTAACATATTTTATGGTTTGAATGTATTTAAAGTGTTAACTAAGTAAATCATGGACATTGGATACATATGCCATATAGTAAGCATAATTAAAATAAATGCTAAAATTTCATAGGTATTGAGCTAATAGCTAATATAATAATACTAAGAAACTACCTGGATATTTGTGTTTACTAGGTAACTATTAAATTATTGGTTTTGTTGTTTTAGGGACTATAACATTCATAATTGGTTTCACTGGCTGCGTTGGCGCATTGCGTGAGAATACATGTTTGCTGGCATGCGTGAGTACCTACGTAAACAATAGATTGTTTAAGATCTTATTCTCGTGAAGGTTATCATATTTTTTTTTCTTTAAGATAACAGATAACTTTATATGTATTTAATACCTGCTGTAATAAGTCTTGTAAATTTATGAAAAGCTGATTTCTTCAATGATATTAGTGGTTTTCATTAAATAAGTAATGCCCTTGAAGTAAATCCTGGGCCACACTGGGAGCAAGTCAAATTCTGATTTGCCCATGTGACTTCCACATCTTAAAATCATATCAAGTTCACATTGAGAACGAAAATTTGTTAAACAATTTACTATCAAACACAATAATACTATCCATGCAACAACATACTGATATACAACTATTTTTTAATGTGAACCCGTTTTACATGACTGCGTTATTAGGGGTTGGGTACTCTGCACCTAAATTTACACATAATTATCAGTTATTTTAATAACATATGTAGGTACTTATGTTTATAATTTAAATATAAATAACTATATTGTTATCATAATGCAATATAGAATGTATATCAAACAAATCAAGTTGGTATCAAAATGATTGTAATTTTTTTTATTATGGTTTCAGTATGCAGTATTTCTTGCATTGCTACTATTAGCAGAGATGACCACTGGCATACTTTTCTTTATATTTAAAGATTGGGTAAGTTTTCGGACTGTAAATTCATATTCAAAATTCATGTTTTACAATTTTATTTTAACTGTTATTTATTAATAATTTTAGATAAAACAACAAGCAACCAGTGGCTTTCAAACCTTCATCACACATTATCGAGAGGACCCTGACCAACAAAATTTGATTGATTGGATTCAAGAAGATTGGGTAATTATTCCATAATCTTACTTAAGGATAATGTCGTTTGTAGCTTATAAACCTATCTAGATATTACTGATACAAATAGGACCCGATTTAGAGTTGTGGGTTTCTTATTTGTAAAATATCCTACATCTGCATTCAGAGACGTTATTTAAATTGAATGCCTAGTTACCTTTATTGGAAAGACTGAAAGCATAAATTTTAATCAAACTGACAAGATACGTAATTAACTTTTTCTTAAGTGCTGCTTTAAGTTTTTTTGTTATTTATTATAGAGAGATAGTTTGACTCTAGGGAAAGGACAAAGGAAAGATTTTATCCCAGAAATAATTCTTTAGGAAGGTGAACAGTATCAAATTAAAACACGAAGTTGATATAAAATTTTCCGAATCATTCTAGTTGCAATGCTGCGGTGTGGAAGGACCCCGCGATTGGGACCGTAACGCTTACTTCAACTGTTCGAGCGGCGCAGTAGGGTCTAGGGAAGCATGTGGGGTGCCTTTTAGCTGTTGTCGGAGCAAACCTCAAGACATAATAAGGAACAAGCAATGCGGATACGACGTTAGGAAGCCGACATACGTGAGTTTTAAAGATATTAAAAGAAATGGTTAAACATTTAGCTTTGTGGCGCTTTGTTCTATCTGTCCTCTCTGTCTACATCTGTCCGGGTCGGGTTCCCTCTATCTGGCAGAATCTTATTGCTCCGAAATTCATTTGACATAACACACTTGGCATAATCTTCTTTAAACGAATATTTGTAACACATTATATATTTTATTAAGTAGATTTATTAATTTTTAATGTTTTACTGTCCGAATTCACAGTAGCATACTTTTAAGATGGCCGAATTGTATTAAGCATAATTACTTTTGGAAAAAAAATATTCTGCACAATTTCGCTAAGCGTAGTCGGTATTTGTGGTCAGCGGGTCAGGTTAGGTTAGTGTTGTGACTTAATCTTAGCACGAGCCGAGCGAGTGAAGCGAGCGTGCCGCGGCCGGCGCGCAGCGCCATTCACCATAGATCCACTCGATGTCAAAAAAATCGCACCTCCGCGAAAATAACTTTTAAGCGTTATTAACCTTTAACGCATTTTACAATTTGCTGGAGAAAATTGTAGCCGCTGCTGCAGCTATCTTTGCGGCAGCCGTTCGGCTTCTCGCGCAGGCGGTGGTCTGCTCTCGGCTTCCAACGGGTCCAAATGGCTCCGTTCGGATACTGCGTCCTGGTAGTATAGCACTAGTAGTCGCTTCATGAGAGCGGCTGCGTCCCGTATACGATGCAAGAGCATGCGCGCGTATGCACTTGCATTCTAACGGATTTTAGCAGCATACGCCGCCGATGCGCTGCGCTGCGCCCTGACGCACCTCCGTAAGTGTGAATCGTACATTAGTGTTGAGAAAAAAAAATGTTTGCTCTTGTAAAAAACAAGCAGTTCTGATTGGATATGTTTGTGGCAGATAAGCGAGCGCGTGATATATGAGCGCGGTGCGAGTAAAAATTGTACATTTATAGCGTTACCACAAAGAAGTTAGGCAGTTAGGAGCTTAAGAAGAAAATGGTGTCGATTCTGGCATGTCGTTGCATTCTCTAAACAGGATGAAAAGGAGAGACTGATCTTAAATTCAGTTTTAAGTTTAGAGAATCATGCCATAATTGATACCACTGTTATACAACATTTTGCGTAAGCAACGTCAAACAGTGTCTAACTATTTCGTGGTTCCTTCTATCCTTTATTATTCAGTCCAGGATTTTTATACAGTGTAGGTTTTTTGGGTCTTGTTTGATGGGACGTATGGAAGTTTTTATGAATGTGAATCACGAGCACGGTAGAAATGGAAGATTTGTTGAGTGGTGGAAGTTAAGTCGTTCTGATTTGGCCCTTCTAGGACCGTTCGCGTTAAAGGATTCTTTCGTCCTGATTGTGGGTGTTTGTAGCAAATAAACGAGCGCGTGATACACGAGCGCATCTCAGGCAGATGCGCTCGTGTATCACGCGCTCGTTTATAGATGCGCTCGCAGCCGGCGAGGACTGCTTGCAGCGGCACTGTGCCCCCTTATCAGCTGCCATTCTAGGACCGTTCGCGTTAAAGGTTTCTTAAGGTGCTCCCGTATCAGCTGCCGTTCTAGGACCGCGTTAAAGGTTTCTTACGTTTTGATTGGTGGATGTTTGTAGCAAATAAGCGAGCTCGTGATACACGAGCGCGCATCTGCTTGGCGGCCGGCGAGGACTGCCCCTACTCGCTTTGAAGGTCTATACTATATGAAACCACTCAGTATAGTCAAACGTTAACGTAGTGAAGCACGTTAGCAGAGTTCCATCAAAATCATCTACTTGATCCCAGTCATCAAGTAGATGATTTTGATAGGATATTCAAACAAAAACCGTTCTGATTGTGGGTGTTTGTAGCAAATAAGCGAGCGCGTGATACACGAGCGCGGCTGCCTGGCGGCCGGTGAGGACTGGCTGCAGCGGCACTGTGCACCCGTATCAGCTGCTCTTCTAGGACCGCTTGCGTTAAAGGTTGCTCTATACAAAACCAATCAGTATAAGGCAGTTTTTAGTACTCAGTGTAATGTGTAGAAGCGCTGTTTTAAAACAATTTAATAAAAGTGTACACTATGAAATGATTCATCCCTTTAAAGAGTACGATGCAAACTTTGTGTGTGAAGTTAGCAGCGAGTAAGCCTATTTTACAGAGTAGAACACAATCAGTATCTTGAAAGGACATTGTTCAGCGTCCATACATAGTTAGCCTAAGAACCAACAATCATGAAATATTATTTTCTAGGTTCAAAATCTTAAGTAAATAACTGTAAAAACAAAGATTATTGACGGACACTTCTGAGAACTTAAATTATTAGGAAAACTATTTTTTTTTGAGGTTATGTTTAATATTCAATGAAACAGGTCAACTTATGAATTTAGTATGAACTCAGTATGAAGTGAATTAATATTACAACTAATTCATTTTATTCGGTGCGATTTTGAAGAATAACTATTAGGAAAACCTTGGAATCATGAATAAAATAAAAACTGTAGTTTTGCTTCTTATGTATTGACTATTTTTATCATATTGTTTATTGTATTTATTTGTATATCACATGTATATTGTGTAAATATGCAGCGTGAATGTGTATCAGGTGTTCTTGAATAATTTGGCAGTATGATCCTCTCGGGATGTTGTGGCTCTTGGTAATAAGGGCTCTGTTCTTTGGTAACATCGATGGCATATTAGATAGCCGAAATAGTTAAATTAAAGGCAAAACAATCGCAAATAAACACACACAACAGGTAATCCGAAACGAGAATGCACTTTCCGGTATATTATACTACTCTTTGGAATGCACGAATGCCACAGATTACTACGAATGCAAACTGAATGCACCACAACTACAGAGTAACAAGTTTTATGCCGGCCGGCCCTTCACTTGACAACAGTTTGTCCTTGTCATGCTTAATAAGGAATGAAAAGGACAGACTGATGTCATGTTTTAAAATAGCAGATACGAATAGCCAAGTGAAGTGCCGGCATTAGGACGAAAGAGTGTTTTGTTTGCAGCGCTCCCATAGATTATACACATAAATTGGTATTTATTGCCTCAGATTATTTTTAACTTTTTAATTTAGCTTACTTAACTGGAAGTGTCCGTCACAATCTAAATACTGATAATTATCGCAAAAAATATACTAAGAATTATCATAAATGCCAAATTGGTGTTGGTTCTTAGGCCAATTTTAACATTGTCCTTTACACATGTTAGAAAAACCAGAAGTTAGCTTCTTCAGTTGATTTTATTTATGTGATCATGAATAAACATGATCTTCAGTTGAAACTTACAATTATAGCGCATTATTGTGTCACACTTTATTATTAAATTGTTTTAAAATGGATTAGTGTAGCGTTGTAGAAGTCCTTGTTCCCTCTGGGATATTCGTACTAATCGTGATTTTTCAGTAAAACTCCAAGAGGCCAATGTGAACAAGGTACTATTCCGTAGATATAATTTAGATGCTATGTCAGTTTCCATTCGTCGTCACTAAAAGTTGTTTACTTGTAGTTTGCTGTAGGTGCTTATGTAAGAATTTTGGAAATTTCACATTTTTTTTATACATATTTACACATTGTTATCATGGTAATCTATAAAACAGTTATGAAAGTGTTGTAACAATACTGTAAATATTTACTATTTCGGAAGAGTAGTGTTTTTTACCTTTTTTAAGCTAAAGTAAGAGTAGTTACATGTTTCTTGGTATAAGGATACCTATAATACATAATTACTAATATACTCGGGATGTATATCCAAAATCTGTTTGAATATAGGTAGCTAATACTAGCTATATTTTTCTTTCAAAGAACGTTCGAATGTTCTACAGTATTGTTATTAATTTATCTATGATTTGAGTTCCTTGTTCTCTGCTCGTTTATTGTTATTGTTTATTTTTATTTCTTTTGTTTTAGAGTTTCGATATAGCTAAGATAATATATGACAAAGGCTGCTTAGAAGCCGCCGAAGAGTGGTTTGACCACAACCTGTTGATAGTAGCTACGTCCGCTGTTTGTACCGCTTTTGCACAAGTAAGTTTGACTATTTAGTGGCACTTTAGTACTGTAGACAACGAATTTGAAATGATATGGCATACGAACTGCGCTAAAATGTGGTTCCACGCAAACTGCGATTAAGTGGGCGGGTCGAGAAAAATGCGACCGATCGGGGATTGGTTGGGATTTCCGCTTAACATTGTCTTACCCAATGAATGGATCACCAAAATTTTTTGCAGATATTTGATTTGCCAAATTATTTTGTTTTATCTGTGTCTGTGCGTGTCGCGTTAGTATTGAAGTTTAGTAAAGAGTTTGAAACCATGTTTTAGCGGCTAATAGCTGTTAGAGAGTAATGCTTCCATATTATTTCTAATTTGTCAACTGTAGATTTATGTGTGAAGTTCTTTTATATAATTGGAATTAGAAAACAGAGTCAATCCACAGAATAGAAATTGTTTGAATTTTGCCCAAACTGAGGCTTAACCAAGCAGTTATGTATAAATAAAAAAAATCCTTTAGGTTTTGATTTGAAATATTTGAAAATTTTGTTGATATGACTGCGTCCTAAAATGTAGGTAGGTTACTAGGTACATACAAGTTCTTTAATTTGGGATCTATTACATTGATATATTTTGAGACCTCTCATAAATATGGACGAACATGTCAGTTCTATAGCGTTAAAATAACAATTAAAAATCATTAATCAGAAAAGTGATCATTGTCTAATGTGTCTGAATCAAACAATGACATTATATTGAAGTTATAAATACGAATCGGAAATGATGCTTCAATAAATCCGTTTTGCCCATACCATTATTGCATTATGCATGTACGTTTATCCCCATGAGTCCCAAACTTGAGTGTTGGAATGTACGTGCAAAGAAACTATTTATCACTTGGTTATCGACTCTGTCTTTCTAATTGTAACTGTTAAATGTCTTGCGATAGTTATACACTCTTAACGCGATGAGAATAAGGCACAATATATTAAAAATACCGGTATGGGTTTGACTGTACTAAGTATGAATAAAAATTTGCTTTCAACGGCTTTATTCGATAAGTATTGACGCCGAATTTTTCAATGGTAAACGGGACTATATTTTGATTTTGAGAGAATATGTAAAGTGTAAGTTTATTTGAGGTACAGTGAAAGCAATATATGGTGCCTTGTTACCATAGCTTAGCATGCTTTGTTATATCGGATAGATTGTACTATAAAAGCCATCGCAATGGATAAAATTGCACGACTATCATAGCTCTTAAGTTCTATTGACTGATGAGAAGTCCAATTCTATCCAAAGGCATGGTCTTAATCGTACGTATAATGCGATTGAAACTTTATGGCGGTGTGAAGTTAGCAGCGAGCGCAACTGCGCAGGTTTCAGTTCAGCGACATAGAGAATGGAGTGTAGCATGAATTTGATTACTCTCTAGAAAAAAGCCATAAATGTATGAAAGAGACGAGCGACCAGGAGTTCGGTTTCGAATTACTAGTCGGCTTATAATAATACCTGGTCTGTTTTCTCTATGTCTATGAGTGAAATATGATTGAATACCGCGCGCACCTACATTTCGTTTACTGCGCCGCTACTTGCCCTAACTACGCAGCCATCATTAAGTTATGAAGCGCAATACATGTGTTAATGCCTGCCGTTTATAGATCCTGGGCATATGCTTCGCTCAAAACTTGCGCGCGGACATCTTTGCCCAGAAGGCGAAGTGGCACTGACAATCAGCCTCTCCTGCAGCCGTGTGACGTCACAGGCGTCCCGCCCGCGACCCCTATCGAGCTCTCTACGCCGCACCAACGTAACGCAACCGCCCGGTATTTGAAATTAGAACGTTTCTAAATGATTGAATGAACGGTCGATGACTTTTTCTTTTACAGGCACAAGGATCAATTGGAGTTCCTTCACTTGTGAGTGAAGGAAGGAAGAGACGGGATACGACGTGATGATATTTTTTATAATATTTTGAACACAATAAGGTTATATTGTGTACTGAGAAACGAAATAGTGTCTGATGTCGAGTTACAATGTCAATGTTTGTATGCATAGCACATGAAAGGGAAAACCTTATTTCTTCAGGATTTGTCACTTCGTGTCTCGGCTCGTTATGTGTGTACTGACCCTAACAAAATGTAATTTCAGAATCTCATGTTGTATTGTTATTGTAGTTTTGAGAGTTTTAGGTACCTACCTCCCTATAAAAGTCGACCGTTGTTTGAAGGCTAAAAGGAATCTCGTACTATAAAGACTGAATCTAAAAATATTTAAATGCTTCCAGGTCTAAAACCCATCTCACCATTCTCCAAGCGATTCTATATAGTTTATTTAATAAATTATGGTATTGGTGATGAAAACTATTGATAAGATTCCCATGTTCTACAATAGGGAATCTACCTTTCCAATAAAATAAATCAAATAGGCCAAATCATTATTAATTGACGAAGTGTTGACAAATCATAATACTGACAAAATTTCTGATGTACGAAAAAAAAAATCAGTAAAAATGTTAAAATAGTTTTTGACTTAACTCGAAGACAGCGTTTTTATAAAAATGAAATGATTTATCTCAATTTTAAGTAACTTGATATTTCTGAACTGATACCTTCAGAAATCCCTTCGGCTATCCCTGTTTCCTATAGACTTACTCGATTTTGGATATTCTATCTATCCTTAGAATCTCTTCTTATCCAATGGCACCGACCAAACGTACAAGGTGAAATTAACTCTATTGCTATATTATAAAAATTAAAATTTTACTTCGGATCCGGAGTTGTTGACGATATATTATATAGATGAATTTATTTGTACAATCACCTACAGGACAAAAAGTACGTTTGACCATTCTTCCCTCTTAAAAGTATTGGTGTGCCTGTTAGTAATAAGATGTTAAAAGTACCAGATTAAACATTTAGTTAAAATTGGCAACATGTACATTATGCACCCACCTTGAATTTTCTATAGCAGTCTCTCCTTGTCATTCTTTATTAAGCCTGATAAGGATGGACTACTGTCAAATTTTCTTTAAGGTTAAGAGAATGCAAGGATCAAACTGACCTTTTGGGGGTTGTCTGCGTAAATAAGATTTAATAATGTAATCAAATATAAAACCCATTTTATTAATTATTATTTATATTTGCTGTTGCAACCAATAAAAATTTTATTATCGCCCCTGTTGTCCATGGGTTAAAGTTTAATCTGGCGCTGGATGTTAAAAAATGTTGTTAGAAATATCCAACGTGTATGTCTCTCGGTGTATTGTCAGCTTTGGTTAAAGTGAAATTGAGTAGATACCAAACTTTATTTATAAATGAAGAAACGAGTGACGAAAGATATTACGCCCCACTCGCACATTTTTATTGTCACGAAGACAGGAGAGGGACAGAATATTTTGCATCAAGATTCGTTTCTTTATTGAAGCGAGTTATATTTACTTATGGCGCTTCACCAAAGCTGACTTCACCTTAAAGACCTGTGTTCAAATTGGCCAATTACTAGCCTTAACGGGAGCTGTGAGATGATAATTGTATTGGAATTAAAGGTTTATTAATAACAAAAGATAAAAAAAACTCCGTTTTACATGGAAATGTTTATCACAAAGAAATGATTATTCCATGTAAGTCTGATAAACAGTGCCGAATTAAGTCAGCAAGTAACTAGGGAAAATACTTGAAATTCGAGTTACATAGAGAAAAATACAGGGAGAAAAAAACAGCCCTTGCTGAGTTTCTTGTCGGTTCTTCTCAGTACAAGGTCTCTCGCCGTAGATTTGCGAACCGATGGCGTATCTTTTCGACATTCACAAGTGCTTGTAACAGCCTAGGCTGAATAATCGATATTGATTTTTTTTTGTTTTTTTTTTTAATTTTCATGAAATATACTCATTGACGCTAAAAAGGAGCTAGAAAACGTGGATTTCGCGCATCTAAGTGAAAATTCTACTTTTGTCCCCTCAGTAGATACATAATTTCAGCTGTTAGATTAATTCGGCACTGACGCTACAGTATTAAAAAGAGATTATAAATATTGCCAGAATAATTAAATTGGATTGATATATATTTTTGTGTCTATTTAAGAATGGTGATCGATATACGGTTGATTACAATTTTTAATAATACATGGCAAAAGCATTTTGTGTACCTTTATATATATGTGGAGGCAACAATAATTTTGAGAATGCAAAACACAGAATGTAATGCATGCGTTTGAGCGATATTTTATGGGGCGTGTGAAGTGCAGCAGGAGAATAATGGCTGAAAACAATATAAATAACTGTTAGAATTACATTTACATATTATTATTATATTTAATTTTTTAAGTTAAACAGTGCTACTCATTCTATATTATATCTACTGCCATTAAAATAAATCTAACTTGCGGACAAGAATATAGAGTTCACTCATCAACGTGCTATAAACTTATTAGTGTCAAACAAATAAAATTATAAAAGCAGTAGATATTTTATGGATTCTTTATTTTAGTGGTTTTTAATAAATCTATACTCGACAACAGATGGTCTAAGTTGCGCTAATAAAGGAATGAATAGAAAACGATGACGCAAAGCTTTCTGTCCCTTTTGCACATTATTACTAACAGAATGTTCGAATGGGACAGTTATAGTAAGTTTAGTATATTCCGGAAGTGAAGCATCATGCCTTGCAGGTTTGTATAGATTTAATCGTGCAGTTGTAAATGTAAACTTTGTCGGGTGTGATTTATTAAAAATAGCCTTTAATGATAAGTTAATACTCATGGTTCATTAGTAAGACGCTTCGCCGGATGAATTTACTTAATGCTAAGAAAACTATCGGGAATCGTATAATTTTGAGTATCATGCAGCTTATCATGTTACTTGTATGTTGATATTCGGTTGTTAAAAGCACAAAATTAAAGCTTTATCGTTAATTATATTGCATAATAATTAAAAATTAGTCATTTATATTTTTTTTTGTTTAAAAGTATTATTATTATACAATATTATCATAAATTAGTTCGGATGTTATATATTTATTGGATATATGATGAGGATAATGAAACATCCTAAATTAGGCATGTACGACAGTATATTTCAGTTTCATATTTTTGCTACTGACAATTAAGTACCGACTTAATCAGGTCCAAATATTTTAAATTGATAATATTTTAAAATTTCAAGTCAAGTAAGTGTATTTTTAACTGTCTAAGTGCCGTTCAAATTTTATTCAAGTGGCAAACTATCTAAATAGCAAACTATAAGTGAATTTTTGTAAGAAATAAAAAGGCTGTTGAATGTGATTCGGCTGTAGGAGATGTACATTTTTACCTTTTTAGGGTTCCGTACCTCAAAAGGTAGAAAACGGAACCCTTATAGGATCACTTTGTTGTCCGTCCGTCCGTCTCTCAAGATCGTTTTTCTCAGGAACGCGTGGAGGTATTAAATTGAAAGTCATATCTAATACTCATATCTATTGTCCCTTGGAGCTGTGTGCTGTGAAAAAATCAAACTTCTAAGCCAATACAATCAAAAGATATAGCCGTTTATGCCGCAAATTTTCGAAATTCGCACGGGAATCAAATCCTACAGGGTACTAATACTTCCCGTGAACTTAGAATCTTGAAATTTGGTACGATGTAACGTCTTACAGTACAGATATAGGGAAAAATACGAAAACCGTAAATTTTTAGTTACATCATATAATAAAAAATATTTTTGAAATTTTTAAATTTTTCTCTCCCGTTTCTCATAAACGCGTAGATGTACTAAATTGAGTTTATACGGAACCTTCGGTGCGCGAGTCCGGCTCGCACTTGGCCGGTTTTTTTCCCGACTAGAAAGTTTGTCACTTGTCGGATAAATTATATCAGTGAATAAATTTAATAGATATTTAAAAAAAAAAATATCCTCATGTTTCGGTTATAGTCTAATCGCTAGTACATAATAACTTATAATAATTTGCATTTTTTTTAATCTCACATGAATCTGTTTAAACATTCCTACAATATAATTTGCCTGAACAGTACATGTGCCTAAATATGTAAGTTTATCTCATAGTTGTCATAATAATTGTGATTTTGTGTAATTTAATGTCCATTTTTTGATAAGTCACTGCCTAAATAAACAATTAAATTTGTGCTTACTATATTAAAAATAAATATGTGAATTCTCGGAAGAAAAGTATTATTATTACAGAGATCTTGTTTCGTCCTTTTGACATAATAATTATGTGTTGTTCAAATTTATATTTATTGGTGATGCTATAATAATATATTATTTTAGAAATGACTTTTCATATTTTGTATGCAAATGCAGTTGATTGTAAAGAATATATTTTGTTGTTTTATTTAATTGCCTGTAAGTGAGCTCTATGCCCGTTTGCACCAACTTATACCTAAGCGCAGAAAATATAGGTACCTACAAGAACGTACAGAAGGTTCACTTTGAAAAATCCATTAAAGCAATAGGGATTGCACGCTATGATATAATTATGTGCAATTCAGAACGCACAGCGCTTATAACCGACAATCAAATCAATTTGTCTCATGAATCTTCAAACAAATAAAAAAAGTTTGTTCTGGCATGTGTATGTCACGTTAGTGACGTCAGCCTCTGAGTCGAATTGATACCAGTACCCCTAGTACGAACCATTATCGAATTCGAATAGTTAGCGAGTGCGAAAAGTGCATTATTCTTTTTTAGTATTGAAACTTGAAGAGCACCGTCACAACGGACTAAACGAGAACTAAAAATCACTTGCAAGCTATTCTAATTCACAAAGTCACTAAGGGTATCTACCTAATATCGAAGTCGTGAAATATCACTCACATTTTTATGGAAACTTTAACAGCAGTGCTACAACGGACACAACGAGAACTAAAAATCCATTAAAAAACAGTACACATTAGACGTACTTATATCTAGATCGAATTTAACTTTACGAATGGTTCGTGGTAAGGACAATACCACTACTGACTAGAATTTTGGCGAGTGACTTCAGTTGAACATTGGTAGAAGCTGTGCAGCATTGAATACAGCACTCAGCAGCTCCTCTTTGTACATATTTGTTCCGTGTTTCTATCTTTAGCTGACAGAAGTCGCTCGCCTCAACAGATCTTTTAGATAAGTACAAAATAAAATATTACAACTA